TTTTTTTTTTTTTTTTGCAAATTAAAGGGGAAAAACACATAAAAAAAATTTTTTTTTTTTTAATAGAAAGGTTAGTTTGTTGAATGTTTAACGAAAAATTCTGAGGATTACAAAGCACGCTTATAGGACTAAATAAAAAATAAATGAATAAAAAGAAAACTTTAATGCAAGTTAATTTAGAAGACAATATAGAATCGAGTTCCTGCCGTTTAGAAAAACCTCAATTTGAAAAATAATTTTCACACATTTTTATGTATGAACGCCATTTCACAATTTTTATCTAGAAATTTGGAAAATAAAAATTACGAGGAAATTCATAAAAATATGGACACAAAATTCATTTCAGAAAATCTCTTTCACATATCATCAACACTGTTCACATTTAAACATTTTTTACTACGTTAAAATTCACTGAAAAAACAGATAAAGCCTTTTTTCTACTTATTGAAAATATAGTTGTTATTTTGTTTTACCAATTTCAAAATAATACATCAATCACAATCCAGTATTTATGAAATATTTGTTTAGATTCATTTGGTTAGGTAGTCTTTAGTAATAATTTAAGTAGTGTTGAATAATTATAGTTACACATTAAGTATTTTAGAATAATTTTGCATTTTCATAGAAATAATAATTTCATAGCTAGGAAGTAATTATTTAGATTTAGTTCTAATGTTATCTGAGGTGGATGTAGAAATTTTAAGTAAAAACGGTGGTGCCGCATACTGTTATACCAATTATTGGTGACAGAGATCGTTCTTTTTAACAATAGCATACTACAGGCTCAAGGGATAGAGCGTTCGCCTTCCTCTGAAGTAAACCGGGTTCGACTCCCAGGGATGGCTGGTCAATACGAATACCGCATCCGGCTTTCACCCACCACAGTGCTGATGTAAAATGTCCTCAGTAGTTGAAGGATCATGGGTTAGAGTCTCCTTGCTGTCAGGCTAACCGTGGGAGGTTTTCCTCTCCATGTAAAAGGTTGGAAGCAAATGTTGGCTAATTTCATCAAAAAGTCCTCGTCGAAGGCAAATTTTTCCCGATATTTGATTCAGGAGTTACCTTGTCATCTGGAGTGGGTTCAAAATTACAAGGCTACGTAGTTGAACGTTATAGCAGTCGTAAAACCGAAAAATTGGGTCAGCTGTTCAACGACGGTTATAAAATGAAATAAAATAGCATGCGACATATATTGTACGATATTCAAGTCATGGCTCGAGGGGTGCGCGAGGAAGTAGTGCAGCACGTAATGGAGCGTTGGGATAATTTTTTCTTATTTTTTAACTTATCTCACGATAGAGCAGGAAATAATTTCAATTCTTCAACTGTCTACATTTATGATATGTCCCGAACTCCTCATGGTGGTTTTTGCGATATAATGACTGCCGGAGAGATTTTAAATTATTACTAAAATTCATTACGTAGAGAACTTTAACTATGTCGCAGACATCACTAAGAAATAGTTAAAATTGATAAAGTACATCCACGCGAGCAAAAACTAGATGGTGAAAAAATAATTTGTGTAATATATTGTTTAAAATTAATTAAGATGTTAGAAATGGAGGGCTGGTTGAGTTATTAGAATATTTAAACAGAGTTGTGCTGTGCATGCGGCTTAGTTACCATTAAAGTTTATATGTTATAGAAGGTAGTTTTGATAGCTAAGTCAGTTTGATTTGAAAATAAAAGCATTCGAAACTAATATTTTTTAGTGGTGGTCTAAAATGGCATATACGACGAAAGCTGCTGACTCCATCATTTCATTTCCAAATTCTGCAAGACTTCGTACCATTACTACAGAAACAGTCCGATATTCTAGTCTCACAATTTCTAGAGCTCAGCAAAGAACCATGGTTCAACATCTATCCTGTTATGAAGCTATGTACTCTGAACATCTTTCTGAGTAAGTACGAACAAGAAAATACTATTTACTTAATATTTATTTTGAACATATTTTTTTTTTATTTTAGCATCTATAAACAATGCGCAATGCGAAACATAAATATTTGTTTCGATCTTGTTCAACATCAAAAGAATTCGCTTTCCGCGCCTGTATAGTTTGTCTAAAGTAAGAACTCCCCTAGCCATTCGTCTGGAACCGTGGCGGTTACTATGGTAACGAGATACAACTATTTCAAGTAGGGGCGTGGGGTCACTGTTTAGCATAGCGGGTCGGCGCGAGAAAGGGAATTTTTTTCTTCGGTCTATTGTTAGCCTTAGAGTGAAGAGAAGCTACCCTACCTGAATTGTGATATTCTTATTTCCATAGCAACAGACGGACTCAGACTTTGGTGGGAGGAGTTCTTACTGTAGACAAACTTTATAAAGACTAATATTCATTTCTTCAAACATAAACAAGCAGAAATCGTTACGTAATGAAATAGGTTGCATTTCGCAACCGTCTAAGCAATTATTTACATTGAAAACAAAACAATTAAGATGTTTCGTTTTCACCCGTTGCCTATTATTTAACGAAATGTAAGACTTTCTTTCTGAGATAATTAAAAACTGCCGCTTCCGTCAATTTTAATCTTTTGCTTCAAAAGTACAAAACTTAAATAGCGTTGAAATAGTTATCGTTCCCAGAAAGATTTAGAGTTAATCTTACTTTATATAAATGGTAGTATACACCGAAGAGCCATTACATTATGATCACCCTGCTAATAGCATGTAGGACGACCTTTAGTCCTCAAAACTGCTAGCACCCGCAGTGGCATTGATTCCACAAGGTGCTGATAGGTAGTCTGAGGTATCTGGTACCAAGCGCGCTCACCAACTGGTCCTGCAATTCCCTCACATTGCGAGGGGGTAGCGTGGCAGCACGAATATAGTTTTCCAAGTAGGACCACAAATGCTCTATTGGATTAAGGTCAGGTGAATTTGGGGCCAAGACATATGACTTGAAAGTCACTGAAATGTTCCTCGAACCAATCCATGAGATTCGACCCTTATGACATGGTGCATTATCCTGTTGGTAAACACCATCCCCCGCAGGAAAAACTGCTGCCATGAATGGGTGAACCTGGTCTGCAACTATGTTCAAGTAGCTTACAGACGTCAGGGTTTCTTCTATGAGGATTATGGGTGCTAATGTGCCCCATGAAAACATAGTTCCTGGGTGAGCCCATTGTTATAGATGGAGGGTGGTCATAATGTAATGGCTCTTCGGTGTATATACTTTATTTAAATGGTGGTATATTGGGGAAAAAATGCCATTAACCTAAAACTCCTGGTTGAATATTTAACTATTCAAAAATTATAAACGCAATAAAAAAATATTTTTTGTAACAAAAAATGCATTAGTATTTTTAGGATCCTGCGAAATTTTGAAGCGAATGAAATAAAAAGATTCATCGTTTCTGCGAATGTGTTTTTTAAAAAAACGCAATTTAAAATTACCTTAAACTTATTTTGAAGCGCATCAATAGAAAAAGCGATGTAACTTTTTTATTTACCTGATTTTTGGTTTTTATCTTTTATGATCGATAAATTTTTTTGATCGATAGATTTTTATGACTGATAAGTGAAAAATAAAGGAAAGGATTTTTCAAAAATTTTCTTGTGATGTTCCCACTAATTAATTAATCTTTCTGATTTTTTAATTTTAGAAACTGCTCTGGGTCTCGATGTGCATAGCGAAAATGAGGAGACAAAAACTTTCTTCAATGCAATCGAGAAGTTTGTATATTTTTTTCCCTATGAAGTTCGGTTTTGCTTTTTAGTTTTTTAAAGCAAGAAAACTTGCATTCAAGCTAGGCGATTAAAGCTTTCTGTGATAGATTGCGACATAAAAGTAATAACATAAAAGAAAATGCGTTAAAAGTTTTGGGCGCGCGACGTCATTCTTGATGCAACATATTGGTTAATGATTGTTTCTTTCTTTTTATCACTTGGCCAAGGAATAACTGTTTAGACTTTATTCAGTTGTTGTTTTTTAATTTTATTTATTTACATTTTCTTAATTTCATAGTCTTTTAAATGATATTTTTAGGAAATTCAAAATTTAGAGTTTAAAAATCATAAATTAGCATGAAAAGCTTTAATAACAGAAAAGTTTTAATAACACAAATAACAGGATTAGCTTGAGATATTGTTAAATCAAATCGTAAAATGATATACATTACGCACGAAGAAAAAAAATTATTAAGTTTTGCAGGCTTAAGCCTGCAAAACTTAATAACTGTAACCTTCTCTATCCTAGTAATTACTAGGATAGAGAAGGTTACAGTTTCTTACCTTGAAGAACCTTAATAATTTAAACTTAAATGTTTAGTTTACATAGTTAATTACGCATAGTAATAATTTTTTTAAAATTTACGTTTCTTGTCCCAGTACGTGACAACCTATTACCATCGCGTTTGTTTTTACTTAATTAACACGCCTTTTCGCCAAGGAAAATAAAAAAAACTCCTCAGTTTAAGTGCCTTACACATGAAGCAACGTTTATAATTTTGAACTACATCTTTCAACTTGCCGTGAAGAATTATCTGAGCTTTCAGAATGGGCAAATAACTTTATTTTAAAAGTTATTACACTTTTTAAAAAATCAACAATTTGGCGACATTTTCCACCTGAATAAAAATTATCGAAATATCAAGGTGATAATGAAGTAAGTTTTTACATGTTAAAACTTACAGTGAAGAATTATCTGAGCCTTTGAGTTGACAAATAACTTTATTTTAAAAGTTATTACACTTTTTAAAAAATCATCAATTTGGCGACATTTCCCCCCTTGATAAAAATTATCAAAATCAATACCTTAATCTTCTTTTTTGCAAATTTTTACGATCACCGATTTGGCTACATTTTCCACCTAAATAAAAATTATCGAAATATCAAGGTGATAATGAAGTATTGAAGTAAGTTTTTATATGTTAAAAAATGAGACCAAACTTTTCATTTTCACAAAACTGTTTCTTTTCACCACATTGAAGTTTTGCGCCATTTTAAAAATAACCATGAAGGGCAATAGCTAAAAATACGCTTAAGTTGACCTACTAGTCATGACTAACGGTTGCAAACTCACATCAATTATGAAAAAAACATATTATTCGCAAAAAACATTTCATGCAACGACAGAGCCTTCAAAAAACAGCCTTAAATGAAAAGCCGTCAGCATTATAAATATTGTAAGCATAAATACAATACGCGTTACGCTTTTAAAGATGCATAAGTATTTGTGTATAAATAAATACATTTTTCTCTACTCTCTTAGGTTTAGTGAGGTTACTCAATTCAAAATAACTAGACCTTGGATAATTTTAGACGTCCTATACAACCTGATATTTCCAGCAGCAAATGTAAATACTTACATAAGTATTGTCCACAGCTTCTTCAGAAAGGTAAGGAACAATGTTACGGTCAAGCTTTTCCGGTAAGATTCAATAATGAAAAGTTGTGCAGAAAATAAACATTTAATTTTTATTTAAAAAAATGAACTTAAAAGTGCTGCCGAATTGCGTATACTAAACCAAACTTTTAAACGAAATTTAAGAAGTTAAACACTTACTTCTAGAAAATAATTGTTAGATTTTAATGTTTCAGAATAATTGAAATTAATTAACGATTTGTTCTAAGCATTTACTATTTCAGAAAGAACAAAGATTTGAAAATTTTTCGAAACCTTTTATTATTATTTTTCAAAAAAATTCAAAAGAGAAGAAAAATCAAGAAATTCAAGACTATTTTCATAATAAGATTTTCCAAAGTTCATAAGAATTACTGGGGAGAAAAAAAAACATGTTCCATTGAGAGGATAGGTATAATTTTATTAACGTCTAAGCAAAAGAAGAAAAAAAACTTTTAATATATTAATAATTTTATTTACTACATGCAATCCAAGTACATAATGAGAAAAACACGTGGTAAAAATTCTATTACGTAATATATTTTTGTAATGATGTGTTTAAATTATTTTAAAACATTCATAAAATCTGTGCGAAAATTCAAATTTAAAAGGAAAAAAAAAAGAATAAGAAAAAAGAAATTGATTCCAGATTTGAGAAAAAAAATTTATACTTAAAAGATTTTTCTTTTAATTAATCAAATCATTTCTGAATGACGCTCGAGTACGCCGTCTAGCGGGAATTTGTAAATATCGGACATTAATTTATCACG